AAGATGGGGCAATCTACTTCCGTAGTGATACTGCCTTGGAAACCCAAGGAGGGGTCTCTATGAGTCGGGTCCGACTGGATGTCAAACAACAACAACAACATTTACACATAGGATCACAGGGCCAAGTTTAGAAAGTAATATGTAAAGCAAAAAATACAAAAAGTCTTTCCACAGTTACATTTTGACTCTTTAAGGATTAAAAGAAAAAAACAAATGAAACTCACTGCCGTTGAGTCAGATCCAACTCATAGCAACCCCTCCTTGGGTTCCCAAGAAGTAGATTGCCCAGTCTTCCTTCCAAAGAGTGGCTGGTGGGTTTGAAACATCAGCCTTCTGGCTAGCAGTCAAATGCCTTAGACACTGAGCAACCAGAGCTCCTTCTCTAAGGAATAATTAGGAGAAAATGCATACAAAGCCATTTTAGGTCACAGCCACATTGGATTTGGTTAAATTGGTTTTATCACATCTTACCTAAGAAACAAACACACGACAGTTGCATCTTACTCATGATGACCTCATGTATGTCAGAGTAGAACTGTGCTCCATAGGGTATTCAGTGGTTGGTTGTTTGCCAGGCCTTTCTTCCAAGATGCCTCTGGATAGACTTGAACTACCCACATTTCAGTTAGCAGCCGAAAGTGTAACTGTTTGCTCTACCTAGGGGCTCCATCATATTTTATAGGTGTACTTTATTTAGCTCAAAAAATATAATATGGGTCAATCAAAGAAAGTTGTATGATAACTACTGTAGGCAATATCACTACAGAAGTAGATTGCCCAACCTGCCTTCCAAGGAGTGGCTGCTGGGTTTGAACCGCCAGCCTTCTGGTTAGCAGTCAAATGCCTTAGACAAGATTTACCACCTTGGAAACGCAACGAGGGTTTCTATGAGTTGGAATTGAGTGAATGGCAGTGGGTTTGGTTTTTTTTTAAAAAAAAATAGGGATTAGTTTAAAGACCACTATAATGGAGCCTTTCTACTCCCTCTTGACACTGGAAAAACAAAACACACATACACAAAGGAAAAACTAGACAGAACCGCCAAACTAGTTACCCAGATACCTGGAGAGAATAGTAGCAGTTTTGAATGGAAAACAATCAGTAGCCTGAGCCAGTATTTCCCAAACTTGTCTAATGATAAGAATCACCTGGGATGCTGATTAAAATGACAAAGTCCCAGACCTCACCTCCCAGATTTGCCAAATCAGGATCTTTTAGGGTGGGACCTAGGAATCTGATGGGCAACTTTAACAGGCACCTTAAATGATTCTTATCAAGTAGTTTTGGGAAACACTGGGAAGAGCTAAACCAAAAACCCACTGCCGTTGAGTCGTATCGACTCATAGCAACCCCTCCTTGGGTTTCTGAGGCGGTATCACTATGGAAGTAGATTGCCCAACCTTCCTTCCGAGGAGTGGCTGGTGGGTTTGAGCCACCTGCCTTCTGGTTAGCAGTCCAATGCCTTAGGCACTACACTAGAAGAGCTAGTCATTAGTTTATACTGCAACAAGAATTTGCCCAGAGTGCAGGCATACTTTGTGAGCCTCTGTTTGGGGATTTGGGAGCTCTGGTGGTGTAGTGCCTAAGGCATTGGACTAACCAGAAAACTGGCAGTTCAAACCCACCAACCACTCCTCGGAAGGAAGACTGGGCCATCTACTTCCATAGAGATGCTGCCTCAGAAACCCAAGGAGAGGTCACTGTAAGTCGGATCCGATTCTACAGCAGTGAGTTTGAGTTTGGGGATTTGGATGCCAAGGCCTCCCAGAGATTCACTGTGCTGTCTGCAGGTGTGGATTGCCACTCTTCTACCAATCTCAGCCGAAGAACGCTCCTGTGACCTTCATTGTGGATGGAGCAGTGGTCAAATTTGGCCAGGGTTTTGGGAAAACGAATATATACACTCAGAAACAAGAGCCTCCCAAGAAGGTAATTATCATTGAAGGAAACCAACTGGTTTAATAAAGCTACAGATTTAGGCCTACCTTTTTTTTTTTCCTTCCATTTTCTTTTCTTTTTTATTTAATTTTTATTTTGATTTGGGTGAAAGTTTACAGAGCAAATTGACTTTCCATACAGCAGCTCATATACACTTTGTCTCATGACATTAACTACAATTTCCCACAATGTGACAGCTCCCCTCCCACTTCCTCCCCATAGTTACCTCTTCCCTATGTCCTTCCCTCCCATGCACTCCAAAAACTTAGGCCTACGTTTTAAAATAAGATTAAAGTGCGTAAGAAACTATCCTTATGGATGCATTCTTTATTAAGAGAATGCCATTTTTGTGTATAAGCAGATGGTACTGAATTGTAACATCTATTATATGTCCTCTTTTTTTCCCCTACAGCTGCCCTGCAAAGTTAGAAATTCTCTGGTTTTTTAAATTTATATTTATCTCCTTCAAATTTCTTCTGTGTCCAGTGTGAACAATTAAAAATGGAATAAATTAGGCCATTTTTTTAGGCTAAGTTTTCTATGCAGTTTAAAAAAGTCTTGATGGCAAATGTTCAAAAAAATATTGTGTAAATAAAACACCAGTGCTTTTTCAGTCAGCCAACTTGTCCCAAAAAGAGCCTCACCAAATATACAGCCACACATATACATGTGCTCATGACCTACGGATCCTGTTGCAGGAAACTAGGCTAATTCCTCTTCCTGATATTCCAGGTGATGATGACCAAACGGACTAAAGACATGGGCAAGTTCAGCTCTGTCACCGTGTCTACCATTGATGAGGAGGAAGAGGAGATCGAGGCCGTAAGTGCTTCTGCCCTCCCAGGAACTGGAATCTGGGGTGAAAGGAATGTAGTCTCTCAAGTGCTTAAGTAACAGAATAATTAAAGACCTTGCTTTTAAACCCTGCTCTGCTTGTAAGAAACTGTGTGGCACTGGGCTAGCCTCTGTTCCTCTCCATCTCAGAGATAGCTAGAAAATGAGAATGGGAGAGTTGGACTAGATACTGATTTTTCATACTGTTTTATGAGATTCTTTAGGGAACAAAGCTCCCTTCCCTCTTCAATTTAAAAATTACTGGACTAAATGATTTTAAGTCCAGCTTTGGTGGTGGGTGAATCTATTCTTAGCAGTAGTGGCAGTTACCTTTATGGTACTCCAGTATAATGATGTCTAGGGAGAGACTGTTATTTTAAAAATAGTTTCAGGTGAAAGCAGAACTCTTCTGGATTGTTTAAAAGATAAAGGGTTGAAGGAGAACAGAGTCCTGCCATCCCATCATGATTTCATCATTTGAGTAGTAGAAATTGCTTCTTACACTCTTTGTTCTCATTGGTAAGACTGCTGATGTAAGGATGCTTGTTTCCCTCAGAGGGAAGTAGCCGACTCATATGCACAGAATGCCAAAGTGATTGAGAAGCAGCTGGAGCGCAAAGGCATGAGCAAGAGGCGACTGCAAGAGCTGGTGAGTGGCATGGTGTGGAAAGGTGCTGGGTTTGATTATTATGTGGATTTCTTGATTTGAGAGCCCCTCCCACAGGCAGGAAAAGCCTTTGGGAAGTCTATTGAGGATTACTGGTGTGCAAGCACTCCCTTGGTTACAAACGGGATCTGTTCCTAATTGTGTCTTCAAGAATTTGTAAGTCAGCATGTATAGGGTTGGCAGACAATGTATCTACAAGTGTATTTGTATGTTCTATAAGAATTTCCAGGTATATAGTAGAGCTGACAAGGGGCAAGGTTGTGGTGGCTTCTTGGCCACAGTCAGCTACCCAGAGGGACTGAGTAGTTGGACCAGTGGGCTTGGGACCATGGTCCCAGGGGACATCAAGCTCAATTGGTGTAGCATACTATACAGAAAACATTATTCTACATCTTAACTTTGGTGAGTAGCAACTGGGGTCTTAAAAGCTTGCAAGCGGCCATCTGGATGCAACGATGGGTCTCTCCTCATGCAGAACAAAGAAGAATGAAGAAAACCAAAGACACATGGAAACAGTTAGTCCAAGGGACTGGTACACCATGTGATCCACAGCCTAATGACTCTGAGACCAGAACTAGATGGTGCCCAGCTACCACTGTCAACCACTTGGGGGGGGATCTCTATAGGGGAACAAAACTCCAAATCATTTACAAAAAAAATAAAGTTGGGGGACCAGGATTGCTGGTCTGATAGAGCCTGGTGGAATCCCTGGGACTATGGTCCCGAGCTGCCCTTCAGGTCTGGAGTTGGACCCACTCGTGTGGCTTCCAGCCAAACAAAAGACAGGCATATGAGCTGAACATTTACATTAGGCAGATACAGTCCTTGGAGAGCTCAATCAGGGGAGAATAGAAGGGCTGTGTATGCACAGGTAGACAGCTCAGGAGGCAGGAGTGCATGGGAGGAAAGGACACAGGGAAAGAGGTAACTATGGGGAGGAAGTGGGAAGAGAGCTATTATTGCATTGTGGGAAATTCCTGTCAAAGTCATGAGACAAAGTGTATGTGGACTGGTGCATGGAAAAGGAATTTGCTCCATAAACTTTCACCCAAATCACAATAAAAATTAAAAAAAAAAAAAGAATTTGTAAGTCGGAACACTTGGATACAGGTCTTATTTAGTCTTGCAGTAGTGCAAGATAAGCCCTGAAGCCTTTTTGCTGATTCAAAAGCTGCACATTTAGCAAATAAAGGTGATGGTGATGAAGAATTTGTGGCAGGTAGGCATTGGTTCAGTCATTTCAAAATTAGGGCAAATTTACATAACATTAAAGAGCAAGTAGGAGTTATCTGTAAATTGGACATTCATAACCCAGTGACTGCCAGTTGGGTACTGGGTTTCTAACCCTTGGGTATGACCATGTGACTGTCTGTATACCCTGTTCTGTAGCAATAACCATAAGGTTTACCCCCTAAAATGATAACTTATTAGATAGCCCTAACTAGAATAACATTTTAATCTGCTACTTGTGATGCAAGGGGAGGAGTGAAAGTCAAGATGTAAGCATGCTCCCCTGGATACAGTGGCATACGGTGGTGCTCTTCGGCGGCAGCAGGACTGAGGCTGGCCGTGGCTGCTTAAAGCACTGATGGTGGTTTTCTGAATTACTCAGGAACTCAGAGGATTCACATCTATATATGATGTTGCCAGCATTTTTTATTTGGGATGATAACTGACTTACGATATGTCATTGAAACCCCACATCACTGCACAGGTGCCTCATCAGAAGGCACTGATGACACTGTAGAGGATTTTTCTAGTGATAGAGGTGGTCCCAAGAGCTTTTTGACCTTGCCATCATGGTCAAGAGCATACTCCATCAAATTTTCTGTGGTGAAGGACCAGTGCTTTTCTTCTTCTTTTTTAAATCTCCAATCTGCCAGGGACGGATTCATAATTTGTATATAAATAAAAATGAATTGGCCTCAATTTTTATTTTTAGATTATTTTATCATGACTCTGTCATCTTGCTATAAGTTCTAAATATTTACTCTGAGTTCTTGTACGCATATTGCACGGACCTACAACAAACAGTTCACAGACTTGGGGCAGTTCATGGACCAGAAAACTCTGATTGGCACTATACTAGGGCAGCGTTTTTCGTTCTGTTCTGCCAAGAATAGGATATTGATGTGCCACAAGATTGATTCCCTCACCCTTGGGGGGGGCCTTGAAGGAGCTCTGGTAGCACAATGCCTAAGGCATTTGACTGCTAATCAGAAGGTTGGTGGTTCAAGCCCACCAGACACTCCATGGAAGGAAGACTGGGCAATCTACTTCCATAAAGATTTACCACCTCAGAAACCCAATGGAGGTCGCTATGAGTTGGAATCAACTTGATGGCAGTAGGTTTGGTTTTTGTTTATTTTTCGGAGGGCCCTTATGGCTGCTGGAATCCCTGTACCAGTTGCCTTTGGCCATAGCCTTGTAGAGTTACTCCCACTTTGTGCAGATATTTTCATTTTCTATATGTACCATATGTGCCATAACATCAGAAAGGTTAGAAACCAATTGCTACAGATTCCTAATGATTCTTGAACCACTGTTCTCACTTATATGCAACATGAACATGAAGGGATAGTGTTCACAGCAATTAGAATAAGGAAGGAAAATAAGAATTTTGTGTCATGTATCAGGACTTGTAATTTTTCTTCTTTTCCAGGCTGAACTAGAAGCTAAGAAAGCTAAAATGAAAGGAACCTTGATTGACAACCAGTTCAAATGAAAAGGAACTTTCTCTAAGCTCAGACTGGAGGCAAGCTTTTTTTTTTTTTTTTCCTGATATGGGCTAGTTGCTTCCTTTGTGCCCCAGCAAACGGCTTCACTGTTGCTTCCTGTGATTCTCCAACATGCAGTGAGGTCTTCAGCTGAGTCCGTTTGACCTGCTTCCAGCTAGAGAGGGTGGGTAAGAGTACTATTCCAGGAGATAGATTTTTCTAAATCTTTCTATATATAGGTTTTCTGTGCTATTTTTGACTACTGGGCATTTGATTTAAACTTTTCCACCATGTAGACACTATAGGAATAAAGCACTGTTTGAGTGTTTCTAGTTTCTAAAGTGGTTATTTTTATTCCTTGTTGAAACTGAATAAAGATTTTTGAAAGGAACATTCTAGTGTGTCACAGAGAAAAGCAGCATGTATTATATTTAAAGTTATAGAAAGTCATCCTTTTTTAAGTGGCTCTGTATCTGTTTGTCCTTCGAATAGCAAGTATTGGCTATGGTTTATTGAACATTTCTACTATCAGAGAAAATCCAGATTCCATAAAAGTCCAGAATCTGCCTAAAGCATTCTGTACTTCAAACTTTAAGGCTATAAATAAACCATCATCCCCTAAGAAAAGCTAGATGGGGGAGGGTAGAATAACTCAACTTTGAATGAAAATAGGGTCTCAATAAGCAACCCAAGAAAGCTACCTTCCTGTCAGGCAACTGCTGCCATGTGTGGGTGCATGGAGGAGGGAGACATGATAGATTAAGAAAGGAGACTGAGATAAGTAAAAGCATCTGTTGGGGTCTTAATTCACGTTTGCTATTTGTGGAGGAGTGTTGTATATATAAATGCTAATATTATGTTGCTCAGCATCAGTGATGGCAATATGTAGTTTGTATACATGTTTTTATCTGTCCCTCTGTATTGCAAGGTGTTGGGACAGGAAGAGTGATTTAACCTCCTTGCACTATGTTCAGTGGTTTACATGCAATAGGTGCTGTGGTGTAGTAAATTACTAAGTGTGGCTTTTCTACCCATAAGTCTTTGTAAACTCCAAGGTGGGATTTTCTATGAGCAACTGAGGAGCTCCTG